TATTGCCTTGGCCTAGCCCAGCTCAGTCCCCAACCCAGAGTGTCACCAGTCCGAGTTGAAAAACGGACAACTGAAAAGTGAAAAGTGAAAAGTGAAAAGTAAAAAGTGAAAAGTGAAAAGTGAAAAGTGAAAAGTGAAAAGTGAAAAATAAAAAATGGTAACAGAAACCCGCTTCCCACCGCCGAGCCCGACACCAGCTCGAGTCCTTCTTCTTCTGCACTTGCCGGCCCTTGGTTCGAGTCCAGTCCCGGCCCCACTTTGACGTTGACACCTCCAGACGCGCCATCAGACAGAAAGGCCCAAGCATGAGACCGGCTTCGAGTCCCGCTTTAGAGCCATGAAGCCCTCGTCTCGCATGTCGACATGCTTGATTCACAGGCGACCACGAAAGTTGGCTGGCGCTTGACATTGTCCCTTTTGCAAACCTCCTGACACTCCTCCCTCGGGCCCCTCATCTGGGCTCGAGTCCCCTCTGAGCAGAAGCCTAGTTTTGCGATACCCAACCGCTTAGTATATATTTACGCACGCACTTATAGCCACATTTAAATGAATAAATAAATATATACAATGGCATATATGTATGTATGTATGTGTGTATGTGTATATATATTTATATATTTATATACACATATAGGTATATAGGACCGAACAGCTCGTTGTGTAACAGATTAATGACATTTTAACATTCTCTATCTCTCCGTTTTCCTTCTAACCAGTTTTGCATTGCTTTAAACATTTTCCTTTATATGTATAAATATTGTCAATTGCTCGACTGAAAATGTGAGTGCATTCTCTTCTCTTTTGCTCGTCGACGGCAGGCCTGGTTCGTGAACAGGGCGCCGATTTCCCTCAGCAACCGAATGGCCTCGTGGCTCATTTGGAGTTTCCCGTTTGCGTTGATTCGCGACCCATTTCGCCGAACCGTCACTAAGGTTCATGCTTAATCTGAATTCGAATAGATGATTTACCGATTGCCCAGCGACTTACTCAAATCGAATGTAAGTAGTGCTGTCAGGCGTACCTGCATATAAGCGGAAGCTATAAAGTTGCCAGTCAGAAAGGAACTGGTCCACCGTAAAGAAGCCATCCGTCCAGCGACCAACTGGCAGTTGTGAGTGATAATGTGCCGTCATTTGACGCAAATGACATGAGTTTGAGTCCCGCTGGGGTAAGATAGATATTGCCAATGTGAGAAAACTTTTAAAAAAAATGACATTTTGAGTGCTTCTACGCTCTTTTTTTTACGTCTAAAGACCCGAGTTAATGGGAAAAGTGAGCCGCGTGAAAGCGATTGTGGTCGACCCGTCGCAAGTTCGAGTCTTGCCAGACTGTCTATACTCCAACAAATCGTGTCAATGATGAAATCGAGCCAATAATAGCTGGAATAGAAGGTCTGAATGGATACATGGCTGACGTTTCGGAAACGGCTCATGGTCCTCCTGGCCAAAATTGCCGCTACTCGCCCATTTCTCCATTGCTAACGTAGCTCTTGGAAGCGGCTTTTCCATGAAATACTAAAAGCCATCTTCTCAAAGTAGGCAAGATTCTGCGACTAGCCGTAGATCTTGAGTAGGACCTGTATTCGCCTCATATCACTTTATTTGACCAAAGTCCGATGGTGAATTTTGTCACAATTCGATGAGTAGGGTTCATGAGTTGATTAATTTCACTGATTGCTTTTATTCTATATGCTGTACTCATGTACGTCGTACACAGACACACACACATGTATATATATATATATATACATGAGTATAAGTACAGGACGTAGGGAGAAAGCAAACTGTCCGGACTAGTTGTACGAATGATGACCAGGTTTGATGATGTCTGTCAAGTGGGATGGGATGTGAAGTCTTTGTTGTATAGACCTAAAGACCTACATGATATGGCCTTTGATCCATTTTCAGTCGCCTTTTGGTCACGGAGTCAGGGAGATATCAAAGCATTTACTCTGAACTGTGTACTTAGTCGTTGTTGCCACGACGCCTTCCGGCATCGGAGCCTCGTCAACGAGCTCCATCTTTCGCTGGCTTTGTCGATGGAAGCGTCGGCTTCAGCAAATAGCTACAGATCGTCAAAGTGACTATACAATGATTAGCTGCCTACTTTTGTCCAATGTATGCACTTTTTATGATATTATTCAATTATTGTTAGTATGAGAATACTTTCATTTATGCTGAAAAGAGCATAAAGTCAGCGAATAAGACTGAAACACAAATTGTCTTTAGGCGGACAGGTACGTGTTTTTCTCGCAAAGATGCCAATCACGTGTGAATTAGAGCCAATGTTGCCACATTTAGGCCGGCATGGTCACCAGTTGCTGTAGAATTGAATTCCCGCTAAAGTGGAATCTTTTGCCCGCTTTAAGCGTGAAGAGAAGAGAATTTCGAGCAATCTCTCACTTGGTATCTTCTCAAATCTTGGCATACGAAAAAAGCGTTGACAACGGATTGACAACATCGAGCATGCTTGGCAAGTGGCGCAGGTACAGCTGAGCAAACTAGCAGGCTACGGTAGAGATGTCGTGTTTGTAAGTCTCTTCACAACACCATTTCACACAAGTTGAAAGTGAGTCAACCACTATTCCAGAGTGGTCTAAAGTGTGCAGAAAAGTGAATAAAAATGGCTACATAAAAACCCAACAATCTTGACCTCTTGACCCGAGATGTTCTGGCAGCCCAGCTACACGACGAAGAGAAGAGCCAACAACAATGGAGTACCATGGAAAAGCTGGAAAGGCCCAGGATGACGCGATAAATGTGACAATCCAGCTTGTTTGGGATGATTTAATGACACAAAATTGAGCTTTCCATCCGAATACGATGAATAGACCTTCCGCAAAGTTAGCTCATCCAGGCCGGGCTTGAGTGCAGTCTCAACTCGGCCCCTTTGTCGTATCGGCACCGACTAGCCGGACTCGAACTCGGGTCGTGAATGTCACTCCACGTCAGTCCAAGGCCGCGGTCGCCAGGGGGTCGGTCACGAGGCAGACGCGATGTTTACGCTGGGCGAGGCCTTTCTCAACTCATCTTCTACACCGTTTATAACTAGACTGTCCCGATTGCCAGTAAATCAGTTCTATGAGATGCATTAATCTTAATTCGCTTCAGGTGAGCAAGGATTGGCAGTTGAAATGTCCTACAATGAGATGAGTTTCTATTGCACTCAACACAGTCTTGCTTTCTCAAAAGGTATTCTCATACTCGCTTCAACTGGTCCTATCAACAGGCCAGCCGGTTTCGAACCATGACGCTGCAGTGTTCAATCTCGGCACATTACCCACTTGTCATTGCATTGCCACGAGGGCGAATGTGAATTTCAAGGAAGGCCAGCCATTTTTCCATATCACATGCTTTGCTGGGATTGTCGATAAAGCAAAGTTGTCTTTTCTATGACAATCGAATAGATTACCTATTCTTATTGTATAATTAAGACAATGCGAAACTGAATAGAAACGTCAGCTCTACTCATATTATTGCAGGAAAATTCACCCTAACGAAAACAGGGTAAATACATCTCACATAAATGCGCGTTTGTTAGTTAAATCACGATACTACTCATTATCGACGCGAGTAGACTAAGAGACGTTGGGCATTTGCTGAGTGCAAGCTGGGCACCTTAAACAGCCTAGCCTGGCATAGTTTCTATTCAAGCATCACAGTCGCATTCTCGTAAGATATTCACACAAAAAAGCTGTCTCTTGTGCTGACGCGATGGCAGCTCAGGTATGAGCTTTCTCGGAGCCACTTTTCCACACAGTCCCATACGATTCCAGGATTTGCTGGAGAGTTGAACGTGCATTTTGACAAATTGAACCGGACAATTTTGGTCGGAAGAGACAGAGAGAGAGAGAGATTGACTAATTGCTCTCCAGCCCGTGTGGTTGACAGGATTGAAGGTCAGCCGGGGTTAAAGGGCCCGTTGGCGGTACCTCAGCGAGAGGTGCA